CCCCTCCTCCCCCTCCTCCTCCCTTCCTCAACTGTACACAGCTATTTAGGGTCTCACACGGTTCGAGGTGCTTGTATACAATAGATTTATTAAAAAACCTTACATATATAAATAATGTAATTCCCGCCTTTTTTACAGCTCTTGGGGATTTTGTTGGGTCACGTGGTGATTTTTCTTTTTTCTTTTCTTTTTCAATAACACATTAGGAGGATAATCTAGAGAGAGTCTATAGAGAGAGGACACCGATGGTTCTGGTCAAGCTTTGGTTGTTGATGGTGTTTGTCATTAAGAGGTCACATTTGATTGTTTTGTTGTTGTTTGTTTGTTTGTTTGTTTGTTTTACCAGATGAGCTCTTACTCCATGTCGACATCTTCTTTGCAAGACTCTGTCTTTGTGTCCGCAGGACTGTGGGGCTGCCGGACGCACTCCTTGTTGTCAAAAAGCTCTTTCCTGTCCGCAGCCTGGAGCTCAGGCTCGCTCTGAGGTCTACTTTTGCCCGCGTGTAAGGTGGCCCTGGACGGGCTGATGCAGTGTGCCGGACTCGCCTCGCGCTCCTTGGAGGCTATCGTTACCTCCGGGGAACCGCTGCGACCCTGACATGACCCGGCGGCTGAGACGCCGCCGGGTTGATGGCTCTTTTCCGTCAGCGCGTCACCGCCCGGTGTTGCGGTCGCCGCTGCCGTTGTCTTCAGAGCAGTTTGTGGAACAATGAATCCAAGCGGCTGCGTGATGGGATAGAGCAGAAAGTGTCCTTTGCCGAGCAAAGGTCGCGACGACGGTAAGGCCGCGGGGCTGCGCCTCGGTCTGGAGTCAGACAGGAGGCTCTCCACGCTGAAAGGGTTGAGTTTCTGCAAACCTGAGCCTCTGTTTGTCCGCTGGCTGCAATCGGGTGAGTCCAGCTCACCGGCCTCCCGCTCGGAATGTCTTTGGTTGAAGTTCTGGGTCTGGAGAGGGTGGTGATGATGCGTCTGGTGGTCGCAGCCGGACTGCGTTAATTGAGGTTCCGCCGTGTCAAAAGGTGGACCCGGCGTGATGTGGTCACTGTCGGTGACGTGCGACACCCCGCTGTCACTGTCAGAGCCCGGGGTGTGAAATAAATCCCCAGAAACCAGCTTGTTCTGGGACTTGAGCAGACGGCGCTCCTGCTTGCGCTTCTTCTTCTCCATGCGCTCCAGCTCCCGCCGGGCGATCTCCTCCGGGGCCATGGGCTCCCCGCTGCAGGTGGTGGGGTGCGCGTTGTGAGCGGGTCGACCCGGACCTTTCTTTGTGTTCTCCTTCTTCCTCCATTTGGCTCTGCGGTTCTGGAACCACACCTGCACACAGACACGCGTGCTCATGTCACATGTACCGTGGGGCGGAACATCAGTCATTAAAAACGACATTGTGGTAATTAGACACCCAAAAAAAAAAAAAAAAAAAATGAGGGTTTATTTTACTCCTGCGCAAACAGGGGCGCGTTATTGGGCCGTCTATTGGGAGGAATATTTTTTTTCTATATATTATTACCAGAATATTCTTCGATCGAAATCTTCGAAAATCCCATTACCCCCTTAATTTCCTTTGTTTTTAGCTGTCTTTTTTTTTCTATCTAGCTCCAAGACCAAATAAAAGCTACTCATCGTCATGGGCAACCATACCCAGCATAAGCGTTGAGACGTTTGTAAAAAAAAAAAAAAAAAAAAAAAAAAAAGAAAAAAAAATGAGGGTTTTCGTTTCCCCTGCTGAGACACGGGGCCTTAATTAGGGCCTTAATTAATGTGTTCAAGAAAAAAAAAAGGAAAAAAGTTTAGAAGCAGGAGGTTGGCTGTAAATCAAAAGGTAAACACATTGTTATGAATAATAATGTTGTTCTTGTATAATATATAGAAAACAAAGCAAAAAAAATCAACCGTTGCATTTTTCTATGCAAAGAAATCATACACATATGATGTCATTTAGGATTATAACAAAAATATCAGACATATAAATAATATTATGAGAAATTTTAACTTTATACACGTATTTTAAATGAACAAGACAGGTGTGTGTATGAATTATGAATGAACATATATGGCCACAGCATATGTCGTGACCCACAATGAACACGTGGATTCATATGTCTCTGATAAACTGATAATTTTTTTTTTTTTACCTGAACTCTTGATTCTATGAGGTCCAGTCTCAGAGCCAGGGCTTCCCTCATAAACACGTCCGGGTAGTGGCTCTCGTTAAAAGCCTTTTCTAACTCCTCCAGCTGCCAACCTGTGAAATTAGTGCGAGTTCTTCGTCTCTTGCAGCCGGGACTGTCTTTGTCTGGGTCCACCGGGTCTGACAGGACACGGAGAAGACATTGTAGGAACAAAGGATGGGGGAATTTTTTTATTATTATTTATTTATTTATTTATTTACAACTATTGTCTCGGTCACATTTTATGAACAATTTTTTGCAGCATTGGTTTCATGGGGTTTTTAAAAGCTTTAGGTTTATTGTTAATTCATCTAAAAAAACAAAAACATTCTCCATGAACAGGATCTCTAGGAAAAATCCGAAACAATCTTAAAGAGGATAACTTGTGTTCCCGGTGTCTCGTCTTTGTTTGTTTCCCCATGTTTCGGATCTAAAGCACGGCGGTCTGTAAACAACTGAGTGTCAATAAAGCGGGGTCTCACCTGTCAGTTTGTACTGCTGATTATCTCCGTTCAACCCGCAGCCTGAGGACAGCAGGGGGTTGGAATTGCCCACGGAAGCCGCGCAGGATCCATTGAGTAATCCGTCTATGGAGAAAGGCACCGCGGACGCGGACTGAAGTTGATGCCCGGCTAATTCGTAAACGTGATGGTGGCTCAGGTGGTACGGGAAGCCCACCATCCCGCCGAGGGAAGCTCCGAACTGGGCGTGCGGCGGATCCAGAATCCGGCTGTCCATCATCCCGCATGCAGCCAAGAGGAAACGACGTGCGGACGAAGCGGAGGAAGAACGAAGGCCGGGGATGGGGGTTTACAAACCATGCAGAGGCAGCGGTGGCAGCGCGGAGTGTGGCCAGCGAGGAGGAGACATGATGTGGAGGCAGGGATGAGCTCCACTTTATCCACATGAACCTCCCAATAATTAGCCGAGGCTGTGGGAATATGATGCCCAATGAGAAGCGGTAATAGGCGCTGACGTCAGAGGCGCTTTCTGCAGATCCCCCCCCCCTCCCACACCCCCGTATCGATTGCTAATTAAAGCTGACATCCACCTCAATAAACAATATCAGAGCTGTCACAACAAGACAGGAGGGCTTTGATAAGAACTACATGGCAACTACACGGCTGGGAGGACCCACCGGGAGGATGCTCGATGTAGAGCGCCGGAAAGGGAGCGCTACAGACGGATGGGTTAGGGCTGAGGTTCCGGCGATGTCGGAATAATAATAATAATAATAATAATAATAATAATAATAATAAAAGAATATCTAAGTGAACAGAAATTGATAAAAAATAATAAAAAATAAGAAATATAAAAACTTAAACAAATAGAACAGCTTAAGTTACCCAAGTTAGACAACTACAGTTTATATTCGAAGTTATAAAAGGTAAATAACAATGGTAACAGATAAATAATATTCTTTAATAGCTAAGAAGAAAACTTCGGCTTAGCCTAAATAGTTACACGGTAGAAACGGCCATGTAAAAAATATAATAAATTACTATTATTAGTGGTGTTATTGTGGTTATTATTATTATTATCATTACTATTATTAAACAAATATAAAAAAATATAGGGGATAAGTGAAAAGAACTAAATGTTGTCAAACTAAAATGTTGTAGTTACAGGCCTGGGTAGTCTACATGCCAATGTGTCCCTGATCTCTGACCAGGCCAAAAAGTTATTATTATAATTATTATTATTGTTATTAATATTATTATTATTATTATTGTTGTTTTTGTTGTTGTTGTTTCTTCTGCTGCTGTTGTTGTTGTTGTTGCTGTTGTTGTTGTCTTTGTTACGCTATAATGAGTTTATTTAGTGACACATTAATCAAAGTGTCAGTGGAAGAACACGGGGTTGAAGTCTTGACGACAGACAAAAGCTGCAATTAACTGTTTGTTTTTACTTTTTGGATTTCAAAACACATTTTTCAGGCTGGTAAATAGGATTTAACCCCATTTCAATGTCAGTCTAGTTTCAGAATGATTGATTATTATTTTTTAGAAAGTGTGTGAGTGTGTGTAAACGAAGCTAAGTTATTGCTGGGAGAATGGGACAATTTTACTTTAACTGTCAGAGCGAGAAAAGCGAGAAAATATGAGCAATGGACAAAATATACGATGACATAAGAAGTACTATAGGGGCAGTAGTGGGCAGGGACAAGGGGGAGAAGAGGAGGAATACACTTGGTTAGTGTACATTACACACAGGAAACCTTATAAACTGTCAAACTAAAAATACAATCTCTCGTAAGGACGTTTTCCAATAATAAATTCCACTTTATTTATCCCAAGTCTGGCGCTGTCACCGTGTTAATCAGAGTAGAAATTTCGCAGCCCACTCACTCCCTGACCCTTGGCACCGGGATTGGCATGTTGTAATAACCTTATTCTCTCCAACAGAAGCTGCGATAATTGTTACTCCATTAGCATGCAAATTGTTTAATTAATATTATTATGAGGGAGTATATAATCCGCTCGTCACTTGACCCCTGAGTCCAAATAACAATTCCCCCCCTCCCCCCCTTTTTTTAATGTGTGCAGTCGTACATTTTAATGAGGACTCAGAAATGAAATGATCTCCGGTTCTGTTTGTCCTTCCTTTCTGAGCAGCACCGCTGTCGTAGGAGAGACTCGTCCAGTCTGTCTGTTCACCGGACATGAACCAATGTAATAATGTTTTAGATTTTTTTTTTGTAAGAATATATATGTGTGACGCACACACACACACACACACTTACACACATATGTGTGTCTCTCTCTGTGTGTGTGTGGGTGGGTGGGTTGGGGGGCGTTCGGGGAAAGTAAGGGAGGGGGGTGAAAAGGAGGCAGCCCTCACAGTGAAAAAACCAAACCCTTGACACAGTCTCCAGAGACGCTGCTGTGTGTTTTCTACAACCGGGTGACATCCTCAGATTCTAGGTCTAATTAACCCGATAATAAGGCGGACATGTCGCTGTTGCCCCTGCCTTGTTACTTTTTACTCTTTTTTTTATGTATCTAACCGGCAGCTGTGCACAAGGAAAAAAAATACGATGCTTACTGCACACAAATATATATATATATATATACATACAGCTTATTCAGTCCAGAACAATTAGCCACTTAATCTACATGTAGCTGGACCACAACTCAGGCGTCACCACTGCATTGGAAGTTAGTATAAAATAGACATATATAAGCTTTTTTAAAAAGCTACTTTAATTACTCTGACAAAAGTTTAATAAACCAACAACAGCTTAAAATAAATAAGTTGGATATAGCTGCTTCGTTTTAAACGTGTTTACCTTACGTTAGACACGTATAGGAACTTACATCGTTTGCTACAAATAGAGCAAAAGACTAGAAGAAACAAAGGCAAAATATGAGGCTACGACAACTTTAGGTCTAAGATAACCATAAAGTTTTCGAAAATGTCGTGACACTTCCTGAAAGTTAGTTGAGTTTCAAAAACCATACCATAAATTGCTCAGCTGTGGTAATTTAGAGGCTAAAAGAAAGCTAAGTTAGCTCTGATGGGGCGATTTAATATTTGTTTTAGATTGTTAACAACAAAATTTAAAGTAGAAAAAACTTTTCCATGAAAAGTCACTTGATTTCAACCAATCATTTGAATGTATATCATCAAAACAGTTCATAAAGATTATTAAAATGAAGTTCTAAAACAGTCGTGGCTCTTTGGCAAAAGAATCACCAAATGTTTTCCACCAATATAAGCAGAAAGTAAATGTAACCTGAAGATAAAGTGTTAACGTTAAGTATCTTAAACATACAGCAGTTGGTGTGGGTGGGTGTTTTGTGTTTTTTTTTTTTTTTTTCACTTTCTCCTGCTGCTCACTTGTCTGACCACAGCAGGTAAACACAGCGTACATGTGTGCCAAGCTCATATCCAGGTGTCTGACTGCTCAAAGCCCTCTTATCAACACTGCCATCCAACAGCGGCCCCTAGTTCAGCAACGCAGAACCAAATTCATTTTTAATTAGGCAGGCAAATTAATAGGCGACAGTTTAGGAGTTTAATTACTCAATTAACTTCATGCACGTTAATTTTTAACTATCTAAATTAGGCTGCACATTATTCGATTTGGTGATAATTATAGCATTAAATCTAAATTAATTGTTTTGGGTGGTTTGTATGAACTAAGATTGCAGTTCCAATTAAAGAGTAGAAAGGCAGAAAAAGAGAGGAACCGAGTGCCATTTTAAGCTTCGAGCAAATCCTTTTGATTCCATTTTATAGGCAAAGAAACTCTGCCTGGAATTTTCTCCCCTCCTCTCCTGATCCAACAAATTCTCTCTCCCTCTCTAATCCCACAATTAAAAGTTTCCTCCCATCTAATTATCTGTAATTGTGCCGCTGTCAAAGTAGAATGGAGAAGTGAAAGCGATTGATTTGGACTTTTAATTCAGTTCATTTCTGATAGAAGGGAAAGTAATTCCTTTCAAATTACCTCATTCAATCCTGACACCCTAATGCCCTTCAAAACCGTTTTTTCTCCCCCTCTCCCTCTCTCTCCTCAGCATTTATATATTAAAAATGACTCCAGAACGACTGGTGTGCCTCCTAATAATAATAATAACCAAACTTCCATTAGAATAATAATTTCATTTCAATTAAAACTGACTTATCACCTTTTGCTAAAACGTGCTTAATATGCCGAAAATTATCAATGCTTGAAGGAGCCCAAACCGGGGAGTCTAATTGTAATCAGCGAATCAGAGGTGCTTGTCGCTGCCGTGCGCCTTTGCGCACAGCCCGGCCTCGGAAATAGAACTAATTTACTCAACTCCCCCGGGAAATCCGCTCAACAGATTAACATTTTCAAAATATAGTAATGATATCATTTGAGAAATGGTGACGCCAATTTGTGGGGAGCCTTTGTGCGGAATAATTTGCATTTTTTTCTCTCTCTCTCTCTCTCTCCTTCCTTCGCCACCTCCTGCACACCCTCACCCCCTCCGCCCCCACACACTCTCCCCCAGCCCCCGTTAATTACAGCTCCGCAGATGAAGGCTCTGCTGCGAGACTTACTGCTTATTATTCAACTTCAATCTAATAAGTCTACAGGAGTATTAAAATATATATATATATAAGTGTATGTATGTGTATTTCCATGTGTAAAGTGTTGTCACTGCTGCTGTGTCGTCACTGCTCCTGCCCATACGGCGGGAGAAAATGACAGTTCGGTTTGTTTGTCGGGGACTAAAAGTTTTCTTGGAGTACAGTGTCAGCCATCTTTAAAATATGTTTACGTTTTTTAAAGTATTACGTCAAGTGAGTATTTATTAACGCGGCTTTTTTTTTTTAACTTTACAGTTGTTTGGAGTAGTTTTCAACAGGTTTCAATAAAGTCTCCGACGGTTGCTATCTGCTAGTTCAGGCTTTGTCCAGTACAGGTGATGACAAAGTGTTGTAGCAGAGTGGCGCAGCGGAAGCGTGCTGGGCCCATAACCCAGAGGTCGATGGATCGAAACCATCCTCTGCTAACGGGTCTTTTACAGAGTGCGTTTCAATTATGCTATAGTGTTATAGCCTTACAAAAAAAGGTCATGGGTTCGAGCCCCGGAGGAACCACGTGTGTTGCAGCACATCTGCTGTTAACCTAACAATTTCCTCATTATTATTATTATTCCTAATAATAATGAATTCCAGGAGAATTCCAGGAGAATCTTTGGCAAAATGTGTGTTTTTCTGTGTATAGTTCTTTGGCAAAATGTGTGTTTTTCTGTGAGGGATTTTTTTTATTTGGCTGATACGCATTCATAATTCCATGCATTAAGTATGTAAAGTAGGTCTTTAGGTCTTCAGCAGACTTCAGCCTGACTTTGAGGTGTTTCTTCTACAGCTGTAAAGTTTAGGTATATGTTTTGCCTTTGCCTCATCTTAGTAATTTAGTGTTTTTATACTTTTATTTTAATATCTTTATTATATGTTTGCACAAAATATGTATTATTACTTTGTTTTGAGTCTTCCCCAGTGTGAGAGCAACAACGTTTAATCTAAAGTAAAATTTAATCTAATTTTGCCATGAGGTTTTCACTCCAGTTTTGAAAACTTAGGAGCATCAAGAAGTTTTAGATATAATTTAACTCAAGATCAACTTACGGTTTAACTTAATGTCTAAAAGTTTTAGGGCATTACCTCAGCTCTAATAACAATAATTTTAACATGGTTTCAATTTGGATTTTTAGAGATATTGTGATATAATTTTGTGGTTTTTTGGAAAGTAACATAATGTAATGCAATACATTTGGTCACAAATTGTAGACATATTAGAACAGTAAGGCCTACAAATGTTCATAAACCAATCAAATCTATCCAAAAACTTGCCTGCATTTGAAAGGCTCTAATAAAATGCAGGTCCCTCAAGTACAGTGCAGGTCCCAAGGCTTGGTTTTTTTTTTCAGGAAAGTTAGAGACTAACACAACCCGGCAAGCATGAAGTTGAAACAAGGCCCAGGAACCAGCTATTTATTATCCTGAAATGCTAAATTTGCTGGGATTGTATCATTTGTTTCGGCTGCAGCCAAATGGCAGAATAGCCAACAGTCCCTGGCTGTTTCCTTCCCCACTCTGAGAAAATCTGAGTGACTACATACACTCCGTGGCATGGCCATCTGCTACTGTACAAAAATGCTTTTCTCTTTTGTTTTCTTTTTGTTCCACAAAAGCCCCAGAGATGCCTGTCATACAGCCACGATCCAGTAAACCAATGCAAATGGCTCTTACTGTGGAGTTTCAGATGATCAGGCCTTAATATAGGCGTGTATGTGTGTTTATTTATTTATTTGTCGTAAACATATTTACACAATAATACGATAATTGCGTAAAAAATATCGAAATCGTCAGAGTGGAAGAGTTATGGTACACATAAGTGATATTAAATTTAGTTTAAATTTGACAAACTTTGTCATATACGGCAATACCGTCCATCTAAGTGTGCATTTAGTGACAATCGTAAGAACACGTTTCATGCACACTGCATAAATCTACTAAAGGGCTATCAATTAATCGTTAGGCATAAGTGAACCTTCTCATAAGAGCAAATTCAAGTTAAGAGTCCGGGCGGCTTTTCAAAAGGCCTGTTGTGCCCTCTAGTGGCTAAATATTTAAACTGCCTACAGCGACAAATAAAGGAGCAGTTCAAGACGTTATTATTAAGGGTAAGTGAATCACAGTTACCGCAGTGTTTTTAAAAGAAGGCCTAGCTGATACTAATATTATTAAGTAAAAAAAAGGATTTATTAACGCGGCTTTTTTTTTTTTTTTTTTTTTTTTTTATTTTTGGGTTTTTTGGGGTTTTTTTTAACGGGTTTCAATAAAGTCTCCGACGGTTGCTATCTGCTAGTTCAGGCTTTGTCCAGTACAGGTGATGACAAAGTGTTGTAGCAGAGTGGCGCAGCGGAAGCGTGCTGGGCCCATAACCCAGAGGTCGATGGATCGAAACCATCCTCTGCTAACGGGTCTTTTACAGAGTGACTTTGAATTATGCCATAGTGTAGTGGTTTTCAAGCCTTACAAAAAAAAGGTCATGGGTTCGAGGAACCAAATACTTGCCCTCCTTCACATGCAGTGAATGGGTTAAATATATATATATATATATATATATATATATAGTGTGTGTGTCTAAAATTGCAAATTAAAAGTGTTATGTCAGCCCCTTCCTTTGTTTGTCTTTTATTACCTCAATTTTCTGAGAGATCATCAGGTGAATCTCTGGGAGCAGCTGAAGGTCAGGCTCGTCTCCACAGCACGTGAAAGGCTCCAGAGACACGCACAGGTGTTTCCAGAGCTGTGCCATCTGGCCGCAGCGTTAGCAGCTGAGGAGGCAGGTGTTGCGGAACAGCAGAAGAAATTTATGCCTTCGTCCTGACTGTGCGCTTTTACATCGCATTTACCACCTCTGAGGAGTAATACGTTGCAGTGGTGTCATCTAAATCAATAACTTTTATCGGTCCTCGTTGAATAATTTGGGTACTTATGAATAGTGGCAAACAAACACTCAGGAAGGGCTTGTGACGCTTCATAAATATCTCATTTATTCATTAAAAGTTTAATTAAAACTTTTTGTTGCACGGTTTTCGTGGGTTCTGCTGATGTGCAAAAAAAAAAAATTGAAATATTTTATGGAGTTTTTGTGGCTTTAGAGAATTTAACTTCCGTTGGTGGGAATATACAAATTTGTAGATGGGTCTTATTTTCATCACCTGGTCAAACCTATAAAGAAAGTACTATGAATGGTCATTTTAAACAAAAGAGTAATCAAACTACATTTCCATTATACAACTTTAACCTATATGCCATCTTCGCGGGGTCATAGAACGCTAAATTGACTGTATCTGACTCGTCCAAAGTATGGCCCGTGGGCCAAGTGCGGTCAATAGTACATAATAAAAGCTGAAGTGATCAGTCTGATATGTAGTGATACAGTATTGTATTAACAGAAAATATATATTGTGGTAATTGATGCCTTTGGTATTTTATATATTTAGAGGAATCTACAGTCACGCGGTCCAATAAATAACACAATTTACTATGAATGAAATTACAAATAAACATTTTAAATGTTTGTTTTTTTTAAATCCCTTATATATGATAATTCTTAAGTTACAGTTTGGCTTACGGCTGGAAGTGTCTCCCACAGTGCAAGGCGTGCTGTCCAATAAATGATAATGAAAACAGAAAGAATAACGACATGGTTCAGTGAGAAAATTACTTCCAAAACCAGCAGCAGCCCCACAGGTACCCACAAATGCCAAGTGGTGTTTTTATTAAGTCGCTTAACTCAGCAGCCAAACTGAAGTCAGCAGTGACTTACTGCCCTGTCAACGGGTAAGTCACAGGTAACAAAACACGCCTGAGCCCCATTTTTCACAACACAACCGGTGGGAACACTAATCGTTGGCGTCATGGAAAGCTCTAAGTGCTGAGTGAGCCCGTTTATGATTAAAACTCTGTGATTGTTTTCATATTTATTTTCACTTGCCTTATTGGTTGGTTCATTAGAATGCTTTACTCGCCCATTTAAGAATAAATTAAAAAGAAAGGATTTGTAGTTAGACAGACAGAGCAGAGAAAACTTACTAGTAGTTCTTCATTTTGTTCTTAGAAAACTGAGAACAATATTGATTTATTTATTGATAAATGTTAATAGCAGAATAGCTTTTCAGCTGATTTATCATATTATTTATGTATTACATTTGTTACAAATTTTTGTTGTTATTTATGTGTATCTATATATGATGCTAAGTTAAAGCACGTTCTCCATGACATACGCGTTTTCTAGGAGCTGTTGTGCCAGGTGACTTACGACAAACTAAAATTTGCACAGTTCCTAAATTAATTTGTTGATTACTTCTTGATTATATAACTGTGTTTTGAACCAACTGTTAATAGAGTGTTATTTTAAAAATAAAAAAATATTCTTCTTCTATTGCCTTTACTTTCAAGACTTGTTGGAACCACTAAATGTATGGTCTTTGTATTCTTCTTCCATTGCCTTTACTTTCAAGACTTTTTGGAACCACTAAATGTATGGTCTTTGTGAATTAATATCAAGTATGTGAAGTACAGTCGCACACACCTCCTTAAATGTAACATTACATTTTAGATAATATATTTAATCTAGTCCCATGTCTGTAATAAACTGAACAAAGTCTTTAGAATCCTGTTTCATTGCTGGATTGATTGTAATACACTGGATTCTTCTAGATTCTACTCGCTCTTTCAGGTTGAAAAAAAACCCCTACCACACCCGCAATGACTCGACGTTTTCCCGACGTCGTGACGTCATTGACATGGTAGTGCAACGTGAGTGACGCATCAAAACTCGAGCACAGCTCAGTTCGGCTAACAGTATATGTAGAAGCAGCGACATTCTCAGGGTTCTGTCGTATAAAGTCTTTCAGAACAGGCACGGTGAAGTGAAAATTCACTTGGAAAACGTTTTTCTCAGTACGACACAAACGGGATTTGGTAAGTAACAAATTATACAACGAGCATTTTCGAGCATTTTGGTTTCCGCTGAAAATAGCCACCTAGCTTGCTAATTGTGTATTGATAAAGGCTTCAGTCTTCTTTCTCTGTTTACTCTCAGTGGAAACTTTTCTATTTATTGCAAGTGAACTAGAATTTGCGTCAAAGCAAATAACAGCTGGAGACTGGGAATTTATTTGACCAATATATATTTTATTAGATATTTATCTACTCGCCGTCAGCCCTGTTTTGTTCCTGTCGTTCGGCTGTAAACCTTCTCGACAGTAATTATGTAACCAGTCTAATCATATAAAGTGCTACCACCGGCTGTCTAGCTCCTTCTCTTAACCCTAGGTTTCTATTGTCAAATGGCCTGAGCCACGGGCATAACCTAATCAATAACTTAACATTTAGCTGCTGTACTTGCACAACACCAGCAAAAGCAGAGTTCGGTATGACACAGCTAATTCTTCAGCTATCGTCAGCTAACACTGAGTCAGATGTTGACAGCACTGTTTTAACAATAACATCCTTGAAAATGTTTTCCTACTGCAGTGTGCTGAGACTTTACCACCGGCAGCAGTTTTGTGATGGAGTTTCCGGATTTAGGTGAACACTGCTCGGAAAAGACCTGTAAACGTTTAGGTGAGTACAATTTAAAGATGTGTTTATGTTGAACACAACGTCAGCTAAGGGCTTTTAAAATGAAAGCTAACGGAACCGACTAAGACAGGTCAACCTCTTGTTTATAAAAAAAACTTTTTTTTTTCATGTTGTACACCTGTATTTTGCTCAACTTGAACATTTGTGTAGCCAAAAAACAGTGTCACATTTAAAGTCTTCAGCCCCAGGAGATATCACCACAGTCTCCCTAACCTAACCTTTCACTGTTTACAATATGGCTGCCGTCCTTCTATCACACATCAGTTCTTTTTTTTAATCTGTTATGTGCATTGGCTTTTTTTAAACCTTGAACCTTAAATATTACAGACTTTCTTCCTATGAGATGTTGACTTTTTTTAAACCTTGAACCTTTAATATTACAGACTTTCTTCCTATGAGATGTGATGCCTGTCAGGAGATATTCTGCAAAGACCACATTACCTATGCAAATCACAAATGCACATCGTCTTACAAGAAGGTAAAGGATACCATTTTTTATTTTTTTATTTATTACAATTACTGAAATGACAGAATACCGTGCCAAACGTACAATTTACATTAAATCGATGGCATTGTTGTCATATTTATCTTTAAATGATTACCTGATTTTATAGGATGTCCAGGTCCCAGTGTGTCCGCTGTGCGACACTCCCATTCCCATCAAGAGAGGAGAGATGCCCGACATCAAAGTGGGTGAACACATCGATCGGGACTGCAAATCAGATCCTGCACAAAGAAAGAGAAAAGTAAGTGTAGAAACTACGGGAAGAGCTTTGAAAATACCGAGTTATTGTATTGAACAAATCCTCTCTCTCCTCCTTCAGATTTTTACCAACAAATGTTCTAAAGGAGGCTGTAAGCAAAAGGAAATGATTCGTGTGACTTGCGACCAGTGCCGTTTAAATTACTGTCTTAAACACCGACACCCACTTGACCATGAATGTAAACCCGATGGGAAACCATTGTCTGATGCTGGGTGGGTACACTTCACCTCCGGTTATGCTAATCCACTATTTGATATACTTGGGAAAACATGTCTGACATTGTTTCTTCCACATGCTTCAGACGGGCTGCTGTAATGAGGGCACAAAGTGCCTCCTCCACCTCTGCCTCCAACAGCTCCTCCAGTTCATCTGCTTCAGGAAATTCTCGGCCCGTTTCTAATGGTGTCAGGGCAAACCCCAGGAGCCAAAACAGTCGGTCAGTCCTCTTTTTTTTCTTTTTTTTTCCACAATTCATATTGAGAAATTAAATTTTTTGTTCTGTTGAATTCTTATTTTGACTTTTCTTTTTCTTTTTTTTTTTTTTTTTCCCCCCCGTAGTCCCAAGGGGATCCCAGATGTCTTTGGCAGAATCCAGTCCCTCAGTTCAGCCAGCCCTAAGGTGAGTGAACATCATCAAAACCAAATAAAATCAAACACAAAAATAAACAGTGACATTAAGCCACCTTATCTTTGTAGTACATGTTTAAGTAAACAACTTAAGAACTGCCAAAAACAGGTAACCACATACGCCAAAAGCGACTGTTATAAAAACGAGTTGAACGTTACCTCTTAGATCTGATAATGAAAGCAACCATCTTCTCACCTGGGTTTTCATTTTGTCTTGTTGCCTCAGCCCTCAGGAGCAGGAGGATCTTGCTCTAGCCCAGGCTTTAGCCGTCAGTGAAGCAGAATACCGACGTCAGCAGCAGAGGCAACAGGTACCTGGAACATATAGCCGTCAATAGCATGCTAACAGGAACACACCTAGGTATTGATTTTTCCCAGTATTTCCATTTCTAATCTTCCATAACTGGCAGAGTTCCAGTGATAAGTATTGGAAATATTTGCATTTAATATGTGAAAATAATTGATGTGTTGGGTTTTTTTTCCTAATTTATAGGCAAGAGACTCCAAACAGTCCAACTGCAGCCTTTCTTAGTCTCCAATTAGGTTTTTTCTGTTTGTTTTGTTTTATGTCATTTAAAACATGAATATCCTGGAGATCAGTGAAGACGAGCCGTCTGAAGTTGGGACGTTACCACCTTCTACAACACAAGCACATGCTGTACTTTCCCAGCGAGATGTTATTTTTAACCGACGATTTGCTTTGTATATATTTTATATGCTGATCATAACAAATGCATTATATTAACACGTGATTGTTGAATAAATTATTTCCAAGGCGTAGGAGGAGATGCTTTGAAATTGTTTGCGGTGACGACATACTTAGCACCTTAATGGTAACGGATTTACGGGATGGTGTATAACAGCGGTCGCCGAACTGTTTATTGCAATAAAATTACAATGTCATAATTATTAATCATGTCACAATATAAAATTTAACAGTGTAATATTAAAAGCTAATATTTACACACAGGTATAAACTTACTATATTGCAGAATCTGTTCCTTCAAAATAATTAACTTCAGTAGAAATGACTGAATTAAAAAAAACTGATATAAAATCTATTTAAATGTAACAGTTGTAACAACGGGTTAGTACAGCAGAGGGCAGTCGTTTCTAATGGCTGATTATTCATTGGTTTAGAAACCTTGTTTTCCAATTATGTTACAATACGTTATCTACGATGAATCAGATGTAGATGACCAAACCAACATTTCATTTTTGCTTTGTAAATGCTACAGATTATGTGATCTGATAACATGCATGCTGTCTGAAATCCAATTTCTGCCTTCTCCGTTTCAGGGTGGATGCTTATTTTATATCACTCTGCTCTGATTAACAGTGGACAAATCATTGACATTGACATTTTACAAGTAATTGACTTAATAAGGTAAGACTGCAATTTCAAAGTAAGGCCCACAGATCACGGTTATTATACGGTGAAGGGTCACAGCACAAACTGGTGTTTGACAAATGTCTCACTGGGTGTCTATGTTCTTCGAAGAAGAAAAAATCACTTGGGGAAACGAGGTGACTTATGGGGTTTTGGTCCGAGAGGACGCTAACTTCATTTTTGCTATATGTCTGGCACGTATGGCATATCTGACTATAAAAATGTTTATACATGCATGTCTTTTAACATGCTCAAAATACCTTTACCTGTGCTATGCAACATGAGTCAGTTCATTTTGAGACAGCACCAGGTGGCTTTAACTATAAAGGGTTTTCTAAAGCCAGTGACTTGACTTGATAGGGAGGTTAGCGCTTTTGTCTTATAACAAAACAATTGTTTCAAGCAGGATTGGGGATATTGTTCACTCTAACCTCACTATGAGTATGGCTGAGTGTGAAACGGTTTTGTCTCTGATTAATTAAAATTGATTAAAAATAATCATAATTAAAATTTATAAAACTTATATCATGGTGTATACATAAAAGAAGCTAGCAATGACAGGACTAATTCTCAGCTTTTTTGCTGAATCCGTGCTGCCACAGCAGGTCTGCATAATGATTTGGCAGAGATTTTAATTCTTCCAGAGTCAACATTTTCTACCAGGGTTTGGAGTCTGAGCATTGGAAGATTCTCTCGGACATTTTAGTCGGACTCGTCAGAGAGTAATATCACTTATATTCTTAGTAGTGAACATGGAAATAAAGTAAACGTGATAATGTGAGAGCCAAAAAATAAATAAATAAATAAATCTGTGGAAGATGTACATCTATATTAGTCAGTTTAAAGTCAAAGTACACAGTAGTGTCCAGGTATTTTGTGTAAAATCAGCAGTGGACTGACTGAGACTCCTGCCTGTGATTCTTCTCTCTGTAATGCAATATGCATAAGGCCAGACTGCTGCCTTTCACTGTCTGTCTTTTTCACATCTGAGATGAATGAATGCCTCGGGGTCTGTTTCTCTTTTCTTTTGTTTCGCCTGCTTTTTTTTCTGGATCGGTTATCCCACAGGCCGTTTGAAAAATGAATAAGGCTCATTTCCATTGGGAGTGAGTTAGCAGAGGAAATCACAGATGTGGAGGAGTGTTCACCTTGACCTGCTTAGATGCTTTGTGGAAGAAAAAAGGAGAACTTCTTCTGAATAAACCACACAGGAAGAGTCCATTTTGGAGTCCTTTGATACATAATCCTGTGTTTCATTGTACGACGAAGTGTGATATTTAACAAATAGGTTGTAATAAGGGATATCCAATAATAAACAGGTTGTAATAAGGGATATCCAATAATATATAAATGCCGATATTAGTATAATCGTGTAATATCTGTAATTACGTTATTGGTTTTTCCTCCGATAATGAAAACCTGATAACGCAATGCCTGGGTTTCGCCAAATGATGTGTGCCCTAAGAATAATTTTCGGGGAAAACGGCTGTATATTAAAGCAAAGGTCACTAGATGGCAGCATTGTAGCTCATTGAATTAATCTTATACAGTAGTTTGTACAGGTAAATAAATATATATTACCCAGCCTTTATCTGTATCGGTTGATATCGGAATCAAAAGTGGCGTATCGGAAATCAGCAAGTTAATATCCAACATCCCTAATTGTAATATTAATTGAGGTTTAAAAAAAAATCAAACCATGTAAAAATTTCATGAGTCAGTTCATTTCAAGACAGCAGCAGGTGGCTTTAACTATAAAGGGTTTTCTGTGGCCGGTGTGGGACAATTACTGCCGTTAAAGTCCATACATGTTGGTTCAACAAACTAAGACTTGTTTATCAGACATTACACACAACTATCTCGTCCTTCTTTCATATGAACCTGTGTCAAAACCTTCCTTGGAGCTGCCGTACAGCACTGAAATGACTAGGTTCAAGCCGGTTGTCATGGTTCTCTTTGATTGTACCCCAAACAACGCTCTGCAGATGAAATCACCCACAGCTTTCATGGCTTCAATGGTCTATTACTCTCGGCGTCAAGTCAGCAGCTGAGGATGTACTTCAGGTCCCGTTTGACTGATTATCGAGGTCCCGTCTTGTTGATTGGCCACAAAGTTGATCAAACCTCTGTCTATAGTATATCGCCTTCTTGACGTCTCCTTTACCTGCCACTTCTGTCCACTCCTCAGTGTAATGTTTATAGTCAAACAACACTATGGGCTAGCATTACCTGGTCCTGGTGACCTTGTAGACCTCAATCAGGCTGAGGAAGGAAGCTGCACCTAGTCGGAGGGTTTTTACTTTGGCTTTCTGACAGGCTCTGTCACCAGTGCAGGAAATGACTGATGATTTACCCACCTGAGAACCACCTGAGAAAAAAAAAAAATATATATATATATATGTGTATATATATATATATATACACATACATACAGTATATTATATGATCGTACACTTGCATTGATTCTTAGTCAGAATACAATAAACCATAATGCAGTGCCTCAAGTTACCATAAAATTTGGTGGGTTTTTTTTTTGGTAACATGATAAAGCCTGCGATATTATGACATGTTTCAGTCTGACACAGCATGGATCTGTGGTGTTTCTGGTGGAAGAACACATCAGTCTGCTCCCTCCGTGAGAGAACAGGAGGTATCACTGTAACAACCTCTTTAATTATTCATTGTTTTTGCTGAGAGAAATCGTCTCATTGCGTCGTGTTGCTGCAGGAATATTTCGACAATGTATCTTTTACTTCACACACTGTGTTGGGTAAAAATGATATTGTTACAGTTTGAAGTGTTAAATGTCTATCTTTCTATCTATCTATCCATCTATCCGTCCATCTATCTATCCGTCCGTCTGTCTGTGTCTGTCTGTCTCTGTCTGTCTGTCTGTCTGTCTGTCTCTGTCTGTCTATCTATCTCTAGAAAAAGGCTGCAGAGGGTGTTCTTAACTACATATAAACCCCTGCCCGATACTTTTTTAGTTAAAGAAAGTGTAGTGATTTTGAATCGACGTCTGGTAAACATTACATCATCTCCCTAAACCATTCATGTAAAAGACATAAGGAAAAAAAAACTGTTTGGTAAAAGGGTTACAATCCTGGCCAATGTGAGTAGCAGCTGACAGAGCAGGACTCAGAGAATGCACTGTGATGTTGGAGGATTGTGATTGTGTCGTTGTAGAAAGGGAGCATTGGATTTGACCCTTTAGCACCGCAAGACACGAGAGTGTGAAATCAAGTTGAAAGGTGAGCAGCTGATGCAGCTACGTGACAAAAGCAATATCATCTCTCCCCCCGTTCTCCATAATATCTTTTCACCCATGTCTCCTCTTGAGTCCTAACACTTTTTGTCTTATTCTAACACCTGCTCATACAAGGGTTGGGTTTTAACTCGGAAGAAGTATCCTAAACAACAAAAAACTGGAAGGGTTTCAGTGATGTTTACTTACCGGATATGGAATTATAATCGATGTAGTGTTGCCCCCCCTGCCTGTGGGGTACGTTGATATAGCCGCGACACAAATGTTCTGCCCCTTGTATCTCCGACTGGGTCGCACTGCCGCGTCTTCATCATACAGTTGTGTCTAATTCTGAGAGTGCTAGACAGAGGACACGTGGACTTGCTGGACCAAGAGTCGTGAATTCACAAGGCAGAAGAGGATGATGGGAGCACGTGCCATTTTGGAGCAGCAAGCCCTCTTATTGTTGATTGAGTTCCCAGAAGGAACAAAGAGTCTCTTGATGTCTGTGATACAATTTAAGGATTCTGAGGAAAAAATCTGTAATTTTTTTTCCCAACTTGGCTGAGAATATTTTTGACGTTAGGATAACAGTTATTTTTCTACAGGGAAGTGGAGAAAAGGATTCCAAATCTCTTTTGATTACTTCTCGAGGAAAGATAAGCTTTGTGACAATCATGAAGACGCTTTGAGAAAATGCATGTTGATATCAAAGGTCCGAGAGCTCACTTTTTTTCTTTCTTTTCTTTTTTCAGCTGTCTAAATAACTGAACTGAAAACAAATGTGCTCTCTGAAGCTCGGACTTGGAAAAGAACATTCGCCAAAGCAGCATGTTCAAGCTGCCCTCCTACTGGGCAGCTTGAAAGCCTGTCGATATGGTGTTTTGATGTTGCGTGGAAAATAGGAACCCCCCCCCCTTCATAACAAACGCTGCGAGGGTTGGAAGAGAGAAAGATAGGGCAGGATGGGGAAGAGCCATCGACAGATGGACACTTGTGATTAAAGATGGCGGCTCTCTCGACTGCAGACCGCGAAGGACTTTGTTCGAGCCGAGAAAAGCGGCGGGAGCTGTCTGGGATCCAGCACGAGAAAGCCAAGAGCAAGACAGGAAGGTGAATCAGTAGGTACATCTTCTTTTAAAATCTAGAAAAATGGAAGCCGCGACTAGCAGTAGCAACCTATTGTGTTTGTTATTGTCCCTTTTATGTGTCTAGCCGTGTCTCTCGTCGATCCCCTCCATTTGTATTGTTGTGTCCTCCTTCACGCCAACACAGATGAACATCATTTGATCTGGCTGTTCAATGCTGATCCTCAGATTAGAAATCCTGAACTTCTACTGGCACTCCAAAGATTTTAATTTATCCCAATGTCTTGAGGCCAGCAGACAATGTATTGTCAATAGATGGTACAGGGTTAATGTACAGCAAAAATAAACAGGAAATATAGGCCTCAGTGAGATTGGTCCTTTCATTTGGCTGAACCATAACAATAAATCCAAACATTAACAAGGACATCAGTGGGACTCCACAACACATCCATCAGCTTTGATATGAGACCGGACTACTTGAATGAAATCAAAGCTCTCTCCTTGGCACTTTTTATTCTTAACTTTTTCATTTTGATCACAGAGTGAAATCTCAGCTCTGTGCTCTCAGAATCGCAGCTTTCATTTTAAGAAAGCCTTATTGGACTGGCGTTGATTACAGAGTAGTCAGCGATGATAAGCCTATTTGGGACCAAGTTAAGCTTTAATCCAAAGTGACAGGTGGAACAAAAGACAACTCAAAGGACGGAACTGTGGAAACATGAAGTCGTACTGACTGAAGTCTATACTGGAGGACCTTTTAGAATTTAGAGATATAAGTATTACAATTATAAGTATAAGTATTGCATGTATATAAATAAAAAATCAGGTTTATTTGTACGATTTTACATGGATATGGACATGGATGGTCAATAAATGTTTCCACACGTATGATTGTATTAATGAAAATCAGGTTTATTTGTAGGATTTTACATGGATGGTCAATATATGTTTCCACACGTATGATTGTATTAATGATAATTAAAATGTTCTGTTGAGTTTATCCTTCAACAATAAATGTTTGGTTCTGTCCAGGAACACGTGGACCACAAAGCAAATTGCATATAGTCGAGAGGAGTTTGCAGAGATTTCCATGATGTCGACTTTAAAGCAGACAGACGACTGCACGATGGAAAATTCAAGAAGAGGAGAGTCGGTTGGAGGACTGCTGTGGAATACAACAGGACGCAAGGTAAAATATTGTTTTGATGTCAACAATTGAACAAATGAAGAAAAGAATATCGCTTGCTTAATGACTGTAGGCGGTTAGCGTTAGCTTCCCAACCGTCCCTAAAACTAAAGGAAACAATTACCTACTTCCACTAAATCCTTTTCTTGAGAAGTAGTATTTCAAGAAACTACATCATCGGTTTACTGGTAACACAGATTACATGTAAGAAGCTTCATGCTTTCCCAGTACAGGTTTGCCAATTTAGCTGGAAAATGGATGATGTAAATCAACAAGCCCCACCTTTTCTGTTCCGAGGAACTTTTGGCCAGTACCGTGGGCCAACAGAGCTGCACAAATTGTTGAAGAATGTTTTTTTTTTAGAATCAGTAAATTCACAAAATGAAACATATTTCAGACTTTATTCTGTTACTTATTAAGTCTGAAAAATGTATTATTTTACAAATGTGCCATATTCTCTTTAACTTGAGTAAATTATGAATTCCTTCACTGTGGCCTGATACCAGATGACCCAGGGACCAGTACCGGTCCATGACCTGGGGTTTGGGGACCGCTGCTGTAAATTGTCCAAATGTGATGGTTGTTTTCATTTAAATGTGGCCCAATGCTGAATGGATCTTGGGTGTACCCTTGGCTAAAATTATTGATCGCATGTTTCAACTAAACAAACCAGACAAAAATTAAAGATGAAAAAAAAAGAACATTTCTAAAATAAATTCTAATCTAACTCACTTAGACTGGGTTACACAGAAATGACTAATACAAGCATTCATTCATCTGGTCTCTATTAGATAAATATTTGTTGCAATACTTGTTGAAACTTCCATGATGAGGTCATTTGTTGTATTCCATCTGTTGTTCAAATGCCTGAATTGCCATTCGGTTTCGGAGTGAGAGGAAAGTAAAAGAAGCAAATATCAACCACTGTATTATCTGTTTCATAGACAAGGGTCCGTTTCGTTCTGTTCTACCAACTGGGACCCTGGCGATATGACATTAATTAACCAGGAGCTTGAACTGTGTCTTTAACACGGGTAATAGTGCGTAGTGAACGGGCGAGGCGCTGTGTATCATCTGCCGCTGATGCCACGGCTCCAGTCCGTACAGAGATACTGTAGACTGTGAGAGACAGACGGCCATGGAGGGAGAGCCGGAGAACGAAGTGTTTTCTTTGTTATTTTTAAAGTGACATTGCTCGGAGCCGAGTCGCGTTGCTGTGAATTTCCGATGCACTTAAAAGCACCAGGAAGATTTTGACAGGTTAAGTATACGTCACTTTTTTTTTCTTCTTCCATCTGTGTCTCCTTTCACATCTCTGAGATGGGGATGTAGCGGCGGGTAGGGAGAGTGAAAGGAGCAGAGCGGTGGTACATTTAAAGTGTGGCTTATCATAATGTGCTATTTTACAGTTTAATTTGCCGTGTTTATGGCCATGAGACAATGTTGGGCTTTGCTGGTGTGAGTGGTTGAGTTTAGCGAAGACATCGCGGGATTTAAGCACTGAACAGTGTGGCCAAAGTTGTGCACTTGTCGGCCCGTCTCTCCACTGTGTGTGTGTGTGTGTGTGTGTGTGTGTGTGTGTGTGTAATGTATGAAGAGTTGCTTGGTCTACCCCTCCCCCATTCGCCGCCGTTATTCCGCTGGCTCTGGAGGCCAAAGACCATGAACGTAATGACATTGATGCGGTATTTCAATGTCCAGAAAGGCAAACGAATAAAAGAGACAGCACTTGAACGCACCACAGAACGCCTTTGTACATATCACTGCTCCCACATACACTACATTCATGCACCTTAACCGCAGAACGGTTGGTTTTAATGTGCATGCGCTAAACGACAACCGGCTCTTTACGTACAGGTAGCAAAGAACTATTTTGTCCACGCTGATATTTCTAAGCACAATACGAGTACAGTTCTATTGTTTTGTCAAAATTATTTCATGTTTAACTGGTGAATAACAGTTGGGTGGACAACAATTAATCCAACTACTGGCACTGTACATGTTTTACACCGAAGAAGGGTTGTTTATGTTATTAGAAAATGTTATCATACGTACATTTAAAAAGACGAACGGTAGCGGTAGGAGGACGGAGGTTCTGACAACCGTTTAAATACAGTAAGTGTTCCTCAAAAATATTGCAGATATTAGGTTTGTATTAAAGTGTTCTTTGCTGTGTACTCGTGCCACAGGGAGTTCACAATTAAGGGGTTAACGAAGGTGCTGTGTCCCCTAATTTTGAAACCCATTTTGTCAAATAATGTCCTGAAAAGTGTTAACAATTTAATTTCACTTCTCCACCGCAAACATTAGCAGACATTATGTTTCTCTTTACTCGTGTTATACTTCCTCTGAAAGTTGTTATATATTTTTTCTTAATAAGCTGTAAGAACATAGTTTACATATAATTTATTTCATATTAAGAGATTCCCAAAACAATAGTAAAAATACGAACGTTAACATAAGGTTTTATCTCATCTGCTTTGTTGAAAAAATAAATAAAATAAATGTAAAGTGTGGACTTTCTACTGACTCAGCTTGTTACAAGAAATTGAAATATTTTGTATAATTTTTTGTGCACTTGCTGTTCTTTTTTCAATTATATATATACGTATATACTTATATGTATATATATGTATGTGTATGTATGTACATATATATATATATATATATATATACATACACACACATATATATATATATATATATATATGTATATATATATATATATATATATACATATATATATATCAAAAAATCAAAAAAGTACTTTTCTTTCAGTGACGTGATAAAACTTTATCTCATCAATTTTTTACTCTTTCCTTGCAGGCGTTGTTCAGCAGTCCCACATGTAGAGATCTAGATCTAACTGTTGTGCAGTGTGGGCTCCACTGGGACGTGATTCTCCAATGCTGGAACAATGAGCATAAGGGGCAAAAGGGACTACCTGTCAGGCCTCGGAGGCAGTTTTACTGAAGATGCTCCCAGACCTCCAGTCCCTGGAGAGGAAGGTGAGCTGGTGTGCAGCGAAGAACGCCAATGTAGCAACCTCAGCTTCTCCTCAAGAAATGAGACCCTTAAATGCGACGCATCGGTGGCAACACCCCGGCGACCTGACCTGGACCTGGGTTATGAGCCGGAAGGAAGTGCCTCTCCAACGCCACCCTTCCTGAAGTGGGCAGAGTCTCTTCATTCCCTCCTGGATGACCAGGATGGCATCCATCTGTTTAGAATGTTTCTCAAGCAGGAGGACTGTACTGATATGCTTGACTTCTGGTTTGCGTGCAGTGGTTTTCGCAAACTGGAAGCCAACGAGAGCAACGAGGAAAAAAAGGGTAAACTTGCGAAAGCTATCTACAAGAAGTTCATCCTGGACACAAATGGGATTGTGTCCAGACAGATCAAACCGGCAACCAAATCCTTCATCAGAGACAGTTTAATGAAGCTTACCATCGATCCGGCAATGTTTGACCAGGCTCAGACCGAGATACAGACTATTATGGAAGACAACACCTACCCTTTGTTCCTTAAGTCTGACATTTATTTGGAATACACACAGACAGGAGGTGAGAGCCCCAAGCCCCTCAGTGATCAGAGCTCAGTTTCTGGGGATGGAAAGGAGCTGTCAGGTTATTTACCAACTCTAAATGAAGATGAAGAGTGGAGATGTGAGCATGAGTCAGAGGAGCAGCTCAAAGATGACCCCACAGCAGGCAACCAGCTTACCCAAAGGTTTCTAATGGAGACGGCGCCACAGTCGATTACCAGCGGCACAAGAGACAGGTACTGTACTGTAAATCTGCCATGCTTTACTATAGCTCTCAACCCCAAACGGGGTTTAAAGAAAAGGTTAAAAACAGATAAATAGGAGGAGAAGGAAAGAATGGAATAAAGTTTGCATTAACATGGTTGAAAGCAAGATGGGGTTTTGACAGTTTTGACAGTTTTGACAGGTGTCAGAAGCATCCAAAATACTCAATCAGGTTCTAGAAATGTTCTGGATGCAGTTGAAAGCAAAGGTTTCCACCGTCTACATGAACATCCCATGAATATTGTCCTTCTAGACTGCTTCATCTGAACCATATAAGAAAGTGACCCCGGCCAATATCAGTCACCAGTGATATCTAAAGCTCTATTTCTTTCCCATTTTCAGTGTGAGTTAAATCTATACAATCACAATTGCATACAATTTCTCTTTCTTTTGTTAATTTGATTAAGTTAGCTAAGATAAGTTCAGTTTTTTTCATCAGTTTTACACTGGATTTTTAAATAATCATATATATGTGTTTATGTGTGTGTACATTCATACAAATACAAAGAAATGTACCCCTGTTTATTTTTAAAGGCTGTTCCAAGTATTTATCCATAATTATTCCTGTTATAAATTACCCTTTTATTATTAATAATAATTTCAAAAATTCATATTCATAATTATTCCTATTATAAATATTAATAATAATTTCAAAAATTCATATAACAAATCTGTGAAACCTATCTGTTAATTTGAATTCAATTTGTTACATAAAGTTAGAAAAGTAATGTTTAGAAATTATTTCCAAGGCTGCCAAACTGGAAGATATATCAGTAGTTGGGTTTTAAAACTAATGTTTAGAAATTAAAGGCTGCCGAAGACTGGAAGATATATCAGTAGTTGGGTTTATTTATTAAGATTATCATGACCTAAACCCAACTTCACTGTAGGTCCTTAAACTTAATCATTTTAAAAATAATAGGAAACAAATGTACTCATTCATCCGTATGGGTTCAAACTGGGATTTCTTTGCTAACACACTCATACACATACATAAATAAGTGTGGAAAAATGATTAACCTAATAAAACCTACTTGAGATATCATTTATCAGTTGCACTTTATGCGGTTCCAAGCCTTTGCCTGTCATTGTTATGTGTCTGTAGTAAGGATGCTAATGAAAATCAGCCGGTTACGAAGGTCTCCAGTTGAACTCTCGCTGAATTCCAAACAAGGAGGAAAGCTTGGGATATTTCCTCTGGGGAATTTTAATTTGAATAGTCAAAAATAAGAGGCTGCCTAACATCAATAATTCATGTGTACTAAGCCCTGTAATGTGTCCTGCAAAGTCAGTGAGTGTGAATATACAGTATAAATAGCGTGAATCCTGTATTTAATGCTGTCTTTGCACAGATCTGGGGGAATGTGAAGAACTCTTTTACTCTTCATTCTCTGGACTGGTTTTTTAATGTGGTTTTGTTCTCAAAGCCTTTCTGTGCTCAGATATCTGCAGGATGTAGCAGTGCCAGAGAGATCAATTATATGCAAGAGAGGTAGAATGAAAGATGGAAGAGATGAGTGCACAGTTTACTGTGACTTCTAAGACAGCTGATCCATATTCAAGGCCAGCTTTAAGGGTAAATTACGCTCGGCCTAATAAATGCTACCGATACGTTGTTTTATTGATGTGCTCTGGAGGTATGGGATAGAATGGAAAATGAGTGATACCTGAAGTATGCCTGCCACAATTCTGACTCGTACCAAAGCCATTTAGTTTTAGCATTGTACCGTTAGCGTACATCATGCTTAAACTGTGGTGATCCTAAAGCAGGCACGTCCAACTTCCGGGCTGAAGGTCCAATTGTGGCCCGCGGTCTGCATCCCATGTGGTCCACCAGCATTGTGCCCACAGTACATGAATTTTAGCTTCCTGTTCTCTTTGCAATTAACTTTCCATATTTAATTCATATTTAATGTGAATTCCATACAGAATAGTAAGACCTTCTGCATGTTGACTTTAGCAAATCTGGCCGTCTTTGAAAAAGAGTTCAGAGGTAAACTTTGCTATACATAGAGTACTATCATACTTTCTAAAAATTTTCTGTCCTTGTGTCCAGGCATGCACCATGTCGGGAGACCCTCACCCCGTACCACGTCAACACTGGTTACACAATAGCTGTTCCCACCAGCACCAATGACAGTGAGCAGCAGAGTATGTCCAGCGACGCAGACACAGTTTCCCTCACTGACAGCAGTTTGTATGTATTTTTCTTTACGCGCAACTGCACACAATATTTTGCATAGAGTTATAAAACTGCTCTTATGTCTTTAAAAGGAAGTGTAGCGTTTGTATTTAAAAAAAAAAAAAAAATTATGCAAAGTTTTCCCCCCAGTTGTTATTTTCAACAAGAGTCATGTCATAAGTTTGCCAGAAACAAGCAAAGTTTAATTGGCTACAGAAATGCTTTTCTGTCCATTTTTAACATATTCACACTTTACTAAAGGAGCAGCCAGTAAGGCCCGCTGTGCTCATTATCCATACCAGAGAACGCCACTAAAAATTGATCTCTGTTCCTAATTAGGAATCCTGAAGTAATTTTTAGTCACAACCTTTCCAAGCCTACTTACATTTTTTGTAAACTGAAGTCAGTGGTATATTTCCAAAGCAATTATATATCCTAGTGCTAAACTTATAGAGGAAAATATTTTTGTCTTTACTGACAACTGTAGAAATATACATTGAATTATAAAGAACGTAACGATCAATTGTTTTAACTTGATCTTTAAGCTGTTTTAGAGGTTTATCCAGGACCAGGTTTGGGGTTCAAATGGTTGCTCTGCCCCAGTGCTACTGGTTCATAGGTTGAGCAATGAAGCCTATGATTGTCTTTAAAAATAACCCAACCCAATCCATGCCTCTTAAATAGACAGCAGTAAAATACGCTCACTATTGTAATAATTGTAATATTTGTGTAATGATGCTGATATGAGATTTCTTCTTCTGGATTACAGAAAATGTCCCCTTCTGTGTTTCAGTTGGACTTTTATATATATTATATTTTGTAAACCTGCCATGTTCCTTCTTACTAATGTTTAGCGTCTATGTTGTTCAACAAAAATGCTACACCATGTTAAGTTATTTGGTTATCGCCAGTTTGCCCGTCTGGATTTGGATGCTCAGATTGCTGTGTGTGTGTATATTAGCTCATTAGTAATAGCTCATTAGTTAGCTCATCAGTAATAGTCCTAATAGGGAAAGGGTTATATCCATATTGGCCAGCAGACTTTCAAAGAGTAAATACTACTGAGCCGTGGTAATTAGTATCAGGAGTGCCTGTTCCCAGCGTATTGGTTATCCTCAATTTAAGCTCAGCTGCCCTCAGTTAGCTGTGGATTCCTTCATGCCTGCGGTATGCTAGTAGCTATTAGTGGTCTTGCTTAAGGGTCTGCTGGATATAATCGTATATACTGTATTAGTGTGTATTTGGATGGACCGATCAGTCTGATACCATCTTAAATTTCCTGATTGCCTTTTAGGCCCATACCATTTGCATTAATCCTAAATGTGCAAGAAATGTCCTTAACTGAGATGTTGCAGCGACAGGGACAGCAGCCACATACATGTCTTTGTAGGACATATATAATGACAGCTCGATTATAAGTTTAAAGAGATAAGTGTTTGGTTAGAGACTGAAAAATGTTGTTGATTAGTCAAGTCAGTGAAATTCGAAGAAAGTGTCATCACGTCTTTGCAGTAGACTTTTTCTGACTTACAGCCCAATTCCTCAGTTGTTTTTCAACCCAGATATATAAAAGGTCTTGTCAAATGGGATTGTTCAAACTACTCCCATTTTGAAGTAAAATTGTTATTATTATTTTAAATTTTTGAATGTGTTAAAATAGTCCTCCATCATCTGCATAAAGTCTACTTTAAAAAAAATGGTAAAATATTATAAAAATAATATAAAGATCTGTGTTCCACCTTTTGCGAAAATATAATTATTTAATTGATTAAATATAATATGATCACATGATTAATCATGAATGGTCAGGCTAACTATTTTTAAATATTACATTTATTTGGGTGCAGACATACTGTACATTTACCAAAAGATGTAAATTTGACAGGGATAATAAATGAATATTAGCAAATTAGCGCATTAAGACCAGCAATGCTAAATACTACATGAAATAAATGGACCAATGAAAATGTTAATATGTAACGAGTGTATATTCTATGAGCACATTTTGTGATGCTACTGTATGTGAACGTATATCCTGCTTTCCCCGATTTGATCCAAGTTTCAGCAGTTGTTAGTTTTGGGTGAAAATGCAGAGGAGGCGCTCAATTTAAGAAATGTCTTTATTGTTAATTCCAGAGATGGGATGCCACCGTGCACGCAGCGAAAACAGCACCGCAGGGAGATGCAGGAAAGTGCCAAAGCAAATGGGCGATTGCCACTACCTCATATTCCAGTGAGTTATTCATGGTCTGTTCCTTTCTGCCTCTACAAGGCTCCCTCTTTTCAACTGTCTGTCTCTGCCTCATTTTCCTTACACTTGCACCATTGGAGATGTGCATATTTAAGCTGCGCTGTGTCGCAGGGCCTGTGATGGAGGGTAAGAATAGCTAGTGCTGAAAGAGAAAGCTGTCTAAATGCAGCTTGATGCATTCTTAAGCTTCGTGCGCTAAAGCCTGGCAGACATGAATCCTCCCCTCTGACAGCCTGATGCCTCCTTTTTTTGCAGCTGAGACAGTCTCTTGGTACGAAAAACCCTGGCCCTAATTAGGCCACAGAGTAAAGATTCAAATCAAAAGTCCACACAGCATCTTATTAGGATGGATGCCTTGGCTTTATACAGCAGAAGAGTACATATTACTGTACATTAGTATACATAAAAAATACCATTCAAATATCCCTACTCCATCATATGAAATGTAATCCTGATAAGGAGATCGGGAAGGCTTTTAGATTATTCTGTTAAGTTTCAGTTCATTTTCCACCTATTCATTTGTTTCCATCATTAACTACTCACTTAAAAATAGTGTACCTTCTAGGTTTATACTAGTTGAAATTTTTGTAAACGTTTAAAAGGGAAAACCCACTAAAAACCATGATCAAGGTTTAAAAAAATGTTTTCCTGTTTATCCTAACCATGGAACGCTTTTTTGGTTGTTAAAAAACAGGAAAACACGGTGTCTGATTATTTATTTATTATTAATTATTTAAATTGAATAAATCTGACTATATGTTTGTACATATATGTATAATATATATGTATGTATAATATATAATATAATATATAGTATATATATATAATGTACTGCATATATACTGTATATGTCTATGTATATTTATATATATATATACATATATATTTGGATATACAGTATATATGCATATATGTATATACTGTACATGTTTATACATGTATGTCTACAAAGAAAAAGCACCTACCTACCAAAGTGTTTATATTGTCACATATATAGGGGTATAGGTATATGTACAGTATACGTATGTGATTTCTCATGTACTGTTTATGCACTTTCATTGCATACAACCCAGTAGATTATCTTTTTTTTTTAATATATATTTTTTTCACCAGTGTCACAGACTCACAGTTGCATCCTGTGAAAGAAGGTTGGCATTGATTTAAATGCAATGATGATTTTTTGTTTTGTTTTGTTCAGCGCACAAGTAGGATTCCAAAGGACATTCACGTGGAGCCAGAGAGGTTTGCAGCACAGCTGATCAGCAGACTGGAAGCGGTGCAGCTGGAGAGAGAGGCTCAAGACAAACTGGAGGAGCGACTGAAGAGAGTCCGATTGGTATGTGTCACGTTTACTTTGTTTTAAATTACATCTATCTATCTATCCATGGAGCGTAGAAATGTTTTTAGTGTAAAATCCTACACTTAACAGTAAAGTCAAGCTATTCTTTTATAAACCAGGTTCCTGTCTTCCTAAACGCATGTGGAAGACATTAAAACAAACAGACAATATACCATAAAAACGTAGAATTTAGATCCTAAAAAATAACATTAATACAATACATTGTTAATTTTGTTACATTTTAAAGCAGTTTAGAAAGCAAACAAATATAGACGATGCCTTATTTTTGCATCTGCGAAGGACAAAATATATAAATATGACAAGCTAGGGGGAGGGACTTAAGATAACATCAATCATGGTCTGTAGAAACAAAATCCCAAGGCTAGGTAAGGGGAAAAACTGGCTAGGTCTAACACATGTTTGGTACTTGGGTATAGAGAGAAAAGACTTGAAACTGTAATACTAGGAGAAAACTAGAGCACACATGCCAGGAGCATATAACCTACATAAAAAGAAACCATATCGTATATCATATCTGGTCTAAATCTGACCCTAAGGATGACGACCTGGTCTAAATCTGACCCTAAGGATGACACTACTGTGTGACCCTCACCCAGCAGCACCACTCACCAAAGGTGGTTAGCTAATGTCTAAGTAAACTAATCCAAAAGTCCTCAAATATGAAAAGTTTTAAGCCAGTCAATAAAAAAATGAGGACATTGTTTGATTGTGTAAAAAAGGAGGAACTGGGTATCAGACACAGACCTATTAGTTATTAACGCAGTGCCAGAAATAATTGGCTGAATCCAGCTCCTTTCACAGGTTGGCTGGATTTAAGAGGACGGTGAACAGAGGGTGGTTCAGCTCTGATACAAACGGTCTGAGAATCTCTCTGTGGTTCCCTTTGAATGTCTGCAGCAAAACGATGCTCAGCGCCGGCTACTGACACATTCGGATGCTCTGGCAAAGTCACAGAAAAAAGGTTTATTTAAATATTAACATCACTGGACTTAAAAGAGTGGGAACGGACGGGCTACAAAAATGAAAGTGAAAACTACCTCTCCTCCATGTCTCTCTGTTCTCTTGTTTTCTTTCTCGTCTCCTGCCAAAGTTTTTCCGACTGTTCTGTGGTGCTACCTGCTTAAGCCTCCCAGTAATGTAGACTGCTCAGAACTTTGACCTGTTACCATGACGACAGATGAAGTCATTATTTGTGATTATTGGCTTTACATGCTATGTTATTCCATGTTATTCATTCAAATGCCATTCCAAAGTATCGGTGTAGTATGATTGTGGAACTTGGATACTACTCTACTACTACTCTACTTTAAAATACACTATAATTGTTAGTGTGAGCTCTGCTGTATTGCGGCCTTTTGTTTAAAAATGTCACGTATCAAACCTCTGTTTTAAAACCTCAAGGCCTTACATTTGCACGTGTGGAAAATCTGCCCTCTGCTGGTTGAATAGAACAAAGTCTGTGTTATTACAGAGGAATGAAAATGATTAATTGCACCATGTTTTGTCCAACTGCATGTACTACAATCTTAAATTTTACATTTTTTATGGTATCACTTGATCATTCATTTTGAATTTAATCAGATTATATTTATATTCTGTGTGATTATCTCCTCAGGAAGAGAACGGCGAGGAAGCCACGACGTCTACAGCTACAGGATTATCTGGTCACAGGTTCCCATCTGCTGTTTATCCTCAGAACTACAACTCTCGCTGTGCTGACATCACCCACACTATCGCTCTACTGCGGGACGCACATGATGAGAACCCAGAAAGCATCCTGGATGACCACGTTCAGCGGGTCATGAAGACCCCTGGCTGCCTGTCTCCCAGAGCAGGATGGCGTTCACCCAGGTCGTGCTCTCCTGACAGATTTCCTGCGGGGAAAGCGACAGGACCTGGAAAGTATTTGTCATCAAGCCAGGGCAAACATCCATCCAGGCATCCAGGCCTGAAGGGAGAATCTAGCCACCACCACCAGCACAAACATGTGCATCACATCCACCACGCAGGCAGTGGGAAGCCCAGGGAGCAGGCGGAAACGGAGGCTACGGTGCGCGTACAGTCTCGCAGTTCTGCCGACGGCATGGGCTCTAATCCTTTGGAGCATCCAAGGTCAGCTGCTGTTACCGTGTGACTGTAATAATATAATTTTTTTTTCTTGACCATTTTATTGACAGCCTTTTTTTTAACAGTATCAAAGGTAAGAGAGAGTACAGGAAATTTGAGTCTGCGCGGCCTTACGACACAACGGGGAACGGAGAAGAGGTGGAGAAAAACCAGAAGATTCTTTTGTGGCTCATGGAGGGAGAAAAAGAAATGGTTCAGCATAAAAAGAGCCCTTATGGGTGAGCGATGATGATTTTTCTCTTGAACTATATTCTACCTGGAATCCTGAAAAGTCATTTGACTCAATGTTTGAATTGATTGAATTCGATTTAAATCATTTTCTTTGGCAGACAGAGGCTATTTTTTAAAAAGGTATTTTAAAAAAATGAGCTACCAAGCTTAGAACCCAGAAGAGTAGTAGTAGAAGAGAATGGCTAACTCATTAAAAAGAAGCTGATATGGACAAAGGTAAGTCCGGAAAAAAAGAGATTTCCCAGTGAGCAGCTAAAGATTTGCTCAAGATATGACTGATGTAAGCCCCCAAAGAACTAAAGGAAAGTCAGAATTCTAGTAAAAAAGCCGAGTTTTAGCAAAAAGACATCAAAACAATACTAGAAGGAAACCACAAAAAGATAAGAACTAACCCAAAAACCAGCTAGAGGACATAAAGAGGGACAGAAAATAGCAAAAAATTATATATATATACACACACACATATATATATATATTTTTACTTTATCACTATGACATTTCAGGAGTACCACTGGGTCCAAGAGGATCACAGGCCACGAGTCTTTCCGTCATAGCTCAGTGGACAGATGTGGCTCAGTGTACCCGTGTGTCAGCAGCACCCAGCTGAGGAACGATGTGCAGCCGTCACATCCCTTCATCCAGGATCCTACCATGCCACCTAACCCAGCTCCCAGCCCTCTTATCCAGTTGGAGGAGGTTTGCCGGCGTCTTGAAGAGCAAACAATGAAGTCACGGGTTTTACAGACGAAGCAAAAGTAAGACAAAGGAATTTGTCATTGTGTTTTCCTTCTGCACTGTAGCCTGTATCTGCTTCTACGTGTAGTTTACTCTCCCTCTCTGTCAGGTACGTAATGGAGGTGATCCAACGGGGCCGCTCCGCCGCCAGGCCTAAAGTGTTCCCTCCACTCAACGTGGTGCCAGCCGTCTCTGACAGCGAGCTCTCGGAGCCTGAGTATGTCCACTGTGTTTTACCAGTAACTGTCTGCTCTAGCTAGGTCTCAACAACCAACCGGAATCCTCATTCTCACTATTAAAAGTTAGTGAGTCAGAATAAAGAAAATAATAAACACAACACAAATCCAAAATCTACAAATATTTGCAAAGCAACAGACAGTAGGCGGTACGTTTGGTTGCTTAAGAGTTCACATGACAGACAGTAGGCACTACGTTTGGTTGCTTAAGAGTTCACATGACTTACGTTGAGTCACCACTAAACCAGGCGGTATTTTAATAAACCAGTCAATTTTGTTTGATTCTAGTCATCCAAGGCTAATACACAACAATGAAAATTGACCTTGCTGTGGTATCTCAACTATTCTTACAAGTGCCGGAAGGCAAGTCACGATGTCGATGTGTATTATGGGAGATGGAGTTTGTGGTAAACGTACCTTTGATTAGAACCGGACTTATAATTACAATTGTTAATTACTTGCCATGCATATGTTATACACAAATAATTAACCAGCTAATTTTACCCATCGTGTCAATCAGCCGGTATCAACCTTTATTGCGGACCAGTAATACCGGGTCATCATTAAATTTTCAATATAAAACATCTTGTAGACTTTCTTCTATTAGTATCAGAGTCTGAATGACCTGTTGTTTTGAAACATTGACTGATTTTCTCTGAATAAAAAAGTAAAGTAAAGTAAAAAAGTACATTTTTTGCGGCCAGTACCAAATGACCTACGGACCGGCACCCGTCCCCAGACCAGGGGTTGGAGACCATTACTTTAAACTGAACATGTCGATGTTAAGATCTGTGGATTTTGTGGGCCAGGAGTTTGACACACGCCCTCAACCAAAAAAAATGGACCGATTTACAGTCTGTAAGAAAACACACAACATGTAATTGCTATTTTATTTTTTAAGTTAAAAATCGCCGGAATAGGATAACAGAGCCTTCAGTAAATGCACAGAAAGACTGATGTATTTTGCAATCCGTGTTTTTTTTTTTTGTTGGTTTTTTTTTTGTTTTTAAGCTCGTTTGACTGTGATCTCAAAAGTACCCTCAGCAGATGGAGGAGGAGAGTGTCTGTGTGTGAGAGGCTGATAAAAGGGAACTGGAGTGGCACTGCGTCCCTCTTTGTGTAGAGACCTACTGTATGGAGACCTGAGATCAGTCCTCCGAAAATGTAATGTGGATCCTTTTTCAAAAGCCTTGACTGCGCCATCATTTTCTAACAAGGACATGTGAGGAAGATACTTGACATGTGAGGCCAGGAAAGGCAAAAAGGATGCTTTTCTGAACAAAACAACATGTTTCTGAGGGAATATATATGATGTAGGACTACACTGGTTGATGCACACAAAATCATGAAATAGATAATATACATAGAAATGTGTTAATTGAAAAACAATTGGACTGTCCTTCTACAGTCAGTGGGGGGCAGTAGTGGCTAAGTGTTGGGATTCTCACTAATCTCATTAATGCACTGCAATGACGCCTGATGAAGGGTAAAGAATGATAGTGAGTCTTCACCACCTGCAGTTGTTAATATTGTGTGAGAATTTGATTCATTTGATTGTGACCTTTCACCTCTCGGGTACCTGGAATTGTTGTAATGGCCTTGTACTAATTTATTCAGGTTGTATTTCAGCGTACTGGGGAAAAACAAAGCGCACAAACACTGCTTTAACATTTAAACAATAAAAGCTCTCAGAGAACCAGGTGTAATAACCTCTGACAGAGTGACTGCATTTAGAAAAGCATCACTTATAGAAAGAACTTATATATAGAAGGTTTTTCTTTTCTATTAAATTACTGTAAGACATGGAGGTTATACGGTAAGGAAGTCTCTTCGAAAATGAAATGTACTCAGTTGGTAAATCAATAATGACTCAGGTTTAAAAAAAAATGATAGAAACAAATGAGCTGATTGGAATACTCAGTTGGTAAATCAATTATGACTCAGGTTTAAAAAAAAATCCTCAGTTTATGATAGAAACAAATGAGCTGATTGGAAGTGTCTTTAACGTTTGTTTTGTTTTTGTTTGTTTTTTAATAATGTGCAGGCATAAAGGCACTAAAAAGCCGCCATGTGAAAACACCGTGGTGGCGTACTACTTCTGTGAAGAACAGATTCCGTACAGGACGTCTGTGAAAGAAAGAGTTGTCACACTGGGCCAATTCAAAGAACTGTTAACAAAGAAAGGAAACTACAGGTGAGATTTATGCAGCGATTCGATCTTTTTTTTTATTCATGAAAAAAAAAACAAGAATCCAAAATGAAGTTCAGCGTTACCAAATAATGGTCTTATTGTCAAAAAAGCTAGCTTAAAGATGACAAAGTAAGGTAAGTAAAAATAAGTATTTACCTTATGACAGTTATCGCCCAGCAGAGGGAGCACCAAGCTCAGGTCAACGTATACTTCGTCTCTTTTTGTTAGCAAGGAAGCTAACATGGAAACAAAGTATCATATTAGCCACACCTGCTACTGATTCATTATGACACCACCTGAAGCTCGTCTTTTTGAAGTAATTTTTTTTTTTAATCTGGCAAATACACTTTGTGCTTTTTTCCATGTAGGTATTATTTCAAGAAAGTGAGCGACGAGTTTGACTGTGGTGTTGTGTTTGAGGAGGTACGTGAGGATGATGCTACGTTGCCCATCTTTGATGAGAAGATCGTCGGTAAAGTCGAGAAGATTGAATAAAGTGGAAAGTTGAAAAATGGAGGAGAGAGAAAATGGAGAGAATTTGGATGGCAAACAGGAAGTCTTGTTTTCACGGAGGAGGAATGGAAGGATAGATACAGGAGGGATGTCGCGTTACACTGGACGAAGAACCTGTTTTTTTCCTCTCACTTCTAATGTAGACGTTTAAAGAGCGTATACAGTAGATGAAGAACAAAAGTTCTCCTGAAGCCTCATATTTTTGATATGGTGAGTTCCTTTTTTTAAGACACTTAACGCAATCTCTGCAACTTTTATATGCACTGCTACCGATTGTGTACAGTTTGTGTTACGAAATAACAAAGTTTTATATCTATTTAAGTGAAACACTAATGTCCGGTCTTACTGAAGCATGAATGTGGCTCCTCTTGAAGATTTCCTACAGCGGTGAGTGCCAACAACTGTGGAGATCATCAGGTGTACCATGGGAAATTATTCAGTTTTAATTGGTTGAAAAAACATTGTTTATTCACTGCAAATAATTTTGTCTAGCTTTGCAGCACCGAGAGGCAGAACAATTATATACTCTTCCACCAGGTGGCAGCCATAAAAACTAAAAAGGACGCTTTGAACTCTCTTTTCAATTCCTGTGAGTATATCAGCATCGTGTTCAACTAAAAAGGCTGAGTAAGTAACCTGTGACTAAATTGAAACTAGAAGATTTTGTTTTTTTGGATGGCAGTGGGATTTTTTTTCAAATGTCAATTATGTGCCGTGGCTCAAACAAGGTTGGATAACACTGATCTACAGTGGCTGTTTCTTTTTCTGTGTGTTTGTTTGTGCTCAGCTCCCTGTGGACTCAAACTCCTCTCATTACTCTATTGAACTCGCTTTGTAGCGTTCAGTTGAGTTGCACTTTTGTTTTCTTTGTGTTGCATAACCACAGTCTCTGTCAGAGAGAGCAGCCTGCAGAAGTTCTGAAGCACAAGACACTGTGACACAACAGAAAAACAGAGACTCTCGCTGAGTCTACCGCAGTCCCCTAGAACCGCTGTGGCATAAATCGTTTCTACAAAGCTCGTATTCGGTGTCTGAACTTCAATTTTAGAATTATCGCACACACAGGTCAGAAGGTTGATTGCGTCATCCAACCCAAATGATTTAAAATATTCAGATGAATATGCAGATTTTGAGGGATTCAGACTGTGCATTTTTAATAATGGAAGAAAAACGTGGCCAAACACTGTGACATGAATGTGGGTTGCATTAAGGCAGATACATTTTACTGTATAGTCAATGATTTGGAATTCAGGCAGTCCACCTTAATTGTGAACGAAATGTAGCAGGACATTCAAACGATACGTTTAATATGAGATTCAGAAGCAATACTACAGTAATATTCCAAATACGACGGACTGATAAATATCTATGCAAAGTTGGATTTTAATTTAGCTTGTCTTTGCATTTGAGATTAATAGGTTCAAAATGCCAACAAAGGCGGAAATGAAACATTAGGTTATTATTGACATATCTGACACATTAATAAACCGGATTGATTTTTTTTTTTTTTTTTTTTTGATGATGCAAGCTATACTAGTACAATGGAGATGACTTGCATGTTATGTGGTATAATTGAATACTCATAATACTTCTATCAAATTATCAGGAGACACTTAGTCAATATCACTTATGTGATATAATGTGTTTTCTGGATTGTCTTGATTGCAGTATAAAATATAAAACGTTGAACAAATGCCTCCACACATGGGTCCTCCGTTTCAACAAAAACAGAGGATTTAGTTAAAAACAAACAACCTTGTTATTGTTTGTTGGTTGGATGCTGGGGTTTAACATGACCTATCCTAGAACTATTCTGCAGGACTCCTGAGAGATAGCGGTGCCTAAATTGTATTATTTTTTAAGATGAATGTCATAATAATATTTCCATTAATAATATTATTTATTTATGTGTATTTATTGAATTTCTCTACAACACTTACATTCGGCCTTTGATGCACAGAAGGGACAACTCTGCAAATTTTGTACATATCCTATTGCTATAAATATAATTTTTTTTATAACTAAGTTTCAAACTTAATTTAAGTTAAATTGTTGAATATTGTTTAAATTGTCTAATATTTGCCTTCTTGCACTTGCATTACACAAACAAGTAGTTCTAAGTTTCACCACTGTTGGGGAAAAGAGAAAATACAAGTGGAGGGCAACATTGCTGCAGACAAGCATCCCATAATGCAGTGTTTCCTAAACTTTTTTTTCTGGGGACCCGTATTTAAAAAGTCACAAACCTTCGCGACCCAAATCAATAGACATTAGTTGTAAACTCCTGGGAAACGTGATGCGAGGCAACCCAAAAGAAATCTCGTGTGACCCACCTGAGGGTCACGACCCAGTCTTTGGGAAACAATGCTATAATGCACATTTGAAATGATGATGAAGTGTTGTTTTATTTTATCTTTGATAGCGACTTCTGGGTGTGTGTATATATGTATGTACATATATGTGTATGTGTACATGTTTTTATATGCAGTACATATAAAATATACTCATATACATGTATATATGAATATATGTATATATGAATATATATAAATACACACACAAACACGCGTATAGACGTGTAGACAATCCAGCGAAAAGGAAATGCCAGACAAATCAAATTCAGTATTATCTTTCGGAAAATGTGCGCCACGTTTACACAAAGCGAAAGGAAAAGGAATGGCACTGATGGAGTTACTGAAGGAAATGCATGATATTTAAATTCAAGGCCACTGTGCCTACTCCCCCCCCCGATTGTGCGGCAGTACGTAGTGGGGAATGTGTTAGAATAATAGGCTTCTAGTGATGAAAGGGAATATTAAAAAAAACAGTCGGGTTTACCTTGAATCTAGAGTGCTTCATTATGTCTGTGTTGCTGCACGGAAGCCCAGTATTTGAGATATATCTGTTTGGAATGTTTTTTGTTTTTGGGTGAGCCTAAATCACTTCATGCAGTGTATGTGGTTTCAGTGGGTTTTTTTTTTTTGTTTTTGTACAATTGTATTATTTTTTTTAATATCCTAAATTTTTTTTTTACAATTATAGCTATGAAAGCAAACCTCAAGATCAGCCACATGTATGTAACGAACAGAGTGCCTTTACCACTGCTGTGTGCTCATATCTACCCAAAAAAGAGAAACAAAAATGGAAGCTTTCTTTTCACCGTCTGTGTCCACATTTTCTGTGCGAATGTTTTCGAGTTTGTCAGCAGCGTTGGCACTTTCAGAATCCCTGACCTGATTCTGTCTGCGTACTGGCATGGTTACAGTTACAGTAAATGGTACCTGGTCAATAAACACATGCAATAAAACTAGCACATGAGACATTGGTCTTCAGTTAGTAAATATCAGACCCAGTGAGAATCAGGTGATCAGGCCTTGACGGTACATTGTGAAGGTGGTTAAATACGACCAGTTTCATGTCCAACGTCTGAGTTTTCTGTCCAGAGGAGTCCAGTCTTTTAGGCCGATTCGAAACTGTTCAAAATCCACAGAGCCTTCAGTGCAGGGATGCCCAATAAGTAGATCACGAACTACTGGTAGATCACAAAGAGAGTACTAGCAGATTTCAGAAATTAAACGAACTACTGGTAGATCACAAACAGAGTACTAGCAGATTTCAGAAATTAAAATAAGGTGATTAAATATTTATCAAGTAATATTGCTGTTTGAAGCCAGTGGAAAGCCAATGCAACATATGTAGCTGTAAGCCAGTGTTTCTCAAATAGTGGGGCGTGAGGGGCTTCCAATGAAATATTGCACACTGGACATAAGTGTACCACTGCTGCAATGCTTGAATGATAGAAAGCTTCTAGCCACTAGGTCATACAGTGGTTTGTGCAGATATATACAAATATACATGTGATCAGGTTCTTAATAGTATTTCAATTTGCGAAAGTGTTGGTGGGGAGGGTGGGGGCATGAAAACATTTCTCTCCCCATGGGGGGCATGACAGAATATAATTGAGAAGCACTGCTAGCAGAGACTTCAGGGCTAACACCGTAGTAGCTCAAAAGCAAAGACAAATAGAACAGCGAGGGGTTAGAAAAGCTAAAAAATCTTGAATATAATAGCTGTGTACTATGTACTGTATCAAAAATTGTACTAAAATGTCACTTTAATAGACAGGTTTAAAAATTGACAGATAAAATTGACACTGCGTATTTATGTCCATTAAGTGTATATCAACGTGTATAAATGCCATGATTTACATTTCTTCTAAATGTCTCATTATACAAATGTCACATGGCTCCGTCATTCAACTCCTCTGTATCCTTTTATAGTACATTTATGTATTTGTTAGCATTTCCTACCCCCTACCCCCCTCCCCCTGCCTGGCAACTACTTTTCTAAGTTATTTCCCAACATATCCACCATTTTTCCCAACACAAATTCCTACCATCCTTCCTGCCTGCACATTCACACCTGACTGAAGCCCCGTCTCATGAGTCATCCTACTAGGTCTTACTTCTGTTATCGTTCAGCCATCCATCACCCCCGATGCTCCATGCTTTTCTGTCTTCATCCCTTTCATCTTCATCGATTGTGCACTGTCTGGGTTTTCTCCCACTTCCTTCCTTTCTCTTCACACAATACGGTGTCATCTGCAAACACAATGATCCCAGGTGCCTTCTGACTGAACTGGTCTGCCACCCTGTCCATCACCGCTGTCAGCAAACGCAAACTCAGAGCTGATCTCTAATGTATTCCAATCTCTGCCCTGAACCCGTCTGTCACTCTGACAGCAACGCGGTACCACTGAGATTACAAAAAAGAATGGTATTTTCTTTGTATTTACATCTTGGCCTCCTCGACCAACTACACAAGCTGAATTTAATTGAAAACATTTTTATTGAGCTAGTATTTTATTTCTGATCTCACCAACCAGGAACATTTATTTTCAATGAAAATGTAAATTATTTTCTTGACGTATTCAAGAAAAGTTGCATCATAAAAGTGTTCGTGCTTGTAATCTTACTCGAATGTACAAAATGTTCCGCTTCGTAGCCTTTTGCGGCCTCTATCTGACAGAGCAGAGATTTCAGCTCTGCAATTGCATTCACGTTGATGCAAGAAAAAGCCTCTAAAGTGTTTTTTCCCCCATTTGATTTGAGATGGTAGTTCGTACGTCGCCATGCGTTGACTCATTTCATATTCTCCTCTGACATTAGAAACATTCACAGCCAGCAAAATTACACTGTTATTTTCTGTTAGATGCTCATAAACACAGGACACGTTGCATCTGTACAGTCCGTGCAGAAAAATAACAGATGATTTAGTCGCGCGGAGAACAGAAAAAAATAAGATCGGTATGAGTCAGAAAAAAAAAATGAAGGCTTAAGAAATAAACACGTAAGGCACTAAGCACAGTCACGATAAAGTAAATAATGTTTGAAAAGAAAAAAAAGGTCAGGGAGGCTGCGTGAAAAGAAGTAAAGGAAATATCAAAGTGTGGGAAAATGTGTGGAGATGGAGTTACATGATGATTAGATGTGATCACTGAGGTGAGCAGCTGAGTCTCTGATTACTGTGTACTCTGGAGGCAAATAGCCTAGAATATTGAAGGAAAAATGACTCTCCCGTTCAGCAGATTACACCTTACACAATCCCAGAAATCTGCCGGCATTAATGAATTTATTTTTTTGTCTCTTTTATTAGCGCTGAGGTAGAACACAAGCCAAGGACAGAACAGAAGGTGTACGTCATCGTATCAAAGCTTTTTACAGTACATCGCTTAATACACAAAATACACGTTTGTTTTCCTAAAAAAATTACATAACTCTTTAACTATGCAACAGGACGTTAATAAATATATTCAAATGTATACTTTTATAGTATTTTACCCAGAACAGAAACATGCCATTAATGCATTGCTGGAGAAATAACAACACAACTGTTAAGTTAATCTGAATTCATAGACTCATAATAAGAATTGGACACAGCATACAGTTAAAAGCGTAAAGTCCAGCAGAGGTTTACCTGTGGGTAAAAAAAGATTATTTGCGCTTATTCCTCATTGATTATTTCCTAAAAGAAAATTTCAAGGAAAATAAATAACTGTCTTAAAATGTTGATACACTTTGAATTCGTATTTATAATAGGAACAACCTTGAAGCTAATAAAACTAGTCAACTAGTCTGCTTAGTTTTATACAATACGCAAGTCAAGTGTCGTCATGGTGACGTCTAAAGACCAGGCATTCGATGTTAGGTGACGATAGCTTTTTACAAGGAGTACGTACTGTCTTTATCTGCATAATGGTGAGTCATCAGCATTTGACACTCACTTTGTAAACCAAGTGAATAAATAAAAATCACTAACTACACGTAAGGTCTAAAATTAAATAATTTAATAAAATATTAGCTTTTGATTTTAAAATTTTTATGACGAAAGAACACAACAGGCAGAATTCCACAGATCTTTTTTTTTTTAAATAAATACCATGCATTGTTAACGGTGAGAAACAAGAAATACAAACTGAACTTTTTTTCACTCTTTCGTTGTATTAAGCAAAATATATATAGCAATATCTGTAAATGCATATCTTTTTTAAGTTTTTTTTTTTTTTTTTCCGAAAAAAACGGGATGGGGTTTTTTTTTTTTTTTTTTTCCGAAAAAAACGGGATGGGGTTTTTTTTTTTTTTTTCCGAAAAAAACGGGATGGGGTTTTTTTTTTTTTTTTCCGAAAAAAACGGGATGGGGTTTTTTTTTTTTTTTCCGAAAAAAACGGGATGGGGTTTTTTTTTTTTTTTCCGAAAAAAACGGGATGGGGTTTTTTTTTTTTTTTTTCCGAAAAAAACGGGATGGGGTTTTTTTTTTTTTTTTCCGAAAAAAACGGGATGGGGTTTTTTTTTTTTTTTCCGAAAAAAACGGGATGGGGTTTTTTTTTTTTTTTCCGAAAAAAACGGGATGGGGTTTTTTTTTTTTTTTTCCGAAAAAAACGGGATGGGGTTTTTTTTTTTTTTTTACCGAAACATACGTGATGCGATTATGCGATTATATCTGATTTGTAATACTCGTTCAGTTGAAACACTTACAAGCTGCTGAGTCTCGCAAAGGCAATCTGTGCTGAGCGCTGAGGCCAAGCTGAGTCACTCGTCAAGTCTGCCGCTGAAAGGGCAAATTCAGTGTCACCGTCGCCTCCCGGGGCTCCGCGATCGGCCTGTTTATCATTTCGCACTCGTTCTGTCGCGCGTTCTCCTCGTGCATCTGCGACACCTCCGTGGAGCCCGCCTCAAATCCAGGCACGGTGTTGGCCACTTGGACCACGTGAACCTTGTTCCTGCCGTTTTTGCTCAAGATGCAGCTGAAGACCTTCTTAAAACCCTTGCGAAAGTGCTTGGACACGAGGGCGTAGACGATGGGGTTGACGCAGGAGTTGGCGTAGGCCATGCAGTGGGAGAGGAGCCTGAAGGCGTACGTGGTCTGATTGAAAGGAAAATCTCCGTAAAGGTAGCAGAGGATCACCACGTGGTACGGCAGCCAGCAGATACAGAAGAGAACTGTCACGATGATGATCATTTTGGTGACTTTGCGCTTGGCCCTCTTGGATTCCGAAATGCCATCAAGTGGGTCGACGGCCGTCCACAGGTACTTGATGGTCCGAGTGTACGACAGGCTCACGATGAGCACGGGGATGACATAGCCGAACAGGAAGGTACACGTGTCTAGAACTTTGCGGTTCTGCTCCTCCCAACCCGGGATGCAAACAGTGCTGTTAGCGTAGTCGACCAGGTCGTAGTAGCTGAGATATGGACCTGCGAAGACCAGAGAGAGGCCCCAGATGACCACCATGGCCACTACTGCGTTACACGGAGTGCGTAGCTCCCTGGAGCGGAGTGGGTAACGGATGGCCAGATATCTGTACGAAACAAAAGCAGTATTAGCATAGAACATCAAACGGGATTGTATGCAGAATAGTGGTTTGTACAGATAAATACAAACAGATAAATATTACCAGGTGCAGGATCTGGTATTTTAATTCAGGGGATGGTGGGGGCACTTCTGTCCCCTAGGGGGTGCATGGCAGACAATAATTGAGATACACTGCTTTAACCCATCACCTTAGTGAGCAGATGGCACTTAACTTCCTTGACCACTCGGCCACTACTGCCCCACTATATCGGTATCGGTTGATATCGGAATTGGCTATTACGTGTTTGGACAATATTGACCATCCCTGATTACGGGCTATTTTAATTGGGCAACATCATATAATATATGTATATTTTAATCTTTTAATTTCAGTTGCTCATGATCTACCGGCACTTCCTTTGCGATCTACCTCTAGATCCCGATCTACTTATTAGGCGCCACTGCCGTATAGTATATGAATGTGAGTCTAATGGCTTGGAATTGGCTCCAGTCCCTGAAGCAATAATCACAATGTTAAAGCAGTAAATGAAGGGATTGAAGGATTTCTGTAGCAGTGTCGACCGTGTGAATACAGCCTACAATGAGATTCATATTTCCACGCTTCAAACACAGAGGCTTACAGTACGATAAGGGAACACCTCTGGGAAATATGTTGCTGCGACTAAGAAAGACAAACAATTCCATCAAGACACCAGTTGAGGACTCCAGTGCACCACTGGGTTTAGGGAGCTTTAGTAAAAGGGTTCAGGGCATTTTACAATCACCGGGTTTTTCCTCATCCGTGTCTTTTGTCCGATTGGTTAAAAAAAAAAAATTTAAATAAAACATGGAGTCGTGAATCACATCACACACCGTTAGAATGTCTATTCAGCGAGACCATGTGAAACACCCCGCTCTCGTTTACACCTGTTCGTTCACCTTCTCATAATGTGATGCTGTGTTTTTGCTCATTTACACCTCGGCTCTCCACAGACAAAGGGATAATAACCCTTCTGCTCTGTAAAATGCTGGAATGGAGCCAGGGTACACCACGTAAGCCGCAAGTTTTGTAGCATTTTATATTCATGCGCACACAGTGCCTTGAGCTGAGTTGTTTTGTTTCTTTGTTCACTCCAAATTAGTCTTTCCCGAATGACAACGCAAGAGAACATGGTGAAATGTGGATTTGTGTAAACAGCTCTGGGTTTACATAATGTGTATTTTCCATCCATGTTTTTTGCGTCGGTGACATGATTGCGCAGACGGTGCTCCATCACGTCTTACTGTACGTTGCGTATACTCCCTATTCCATACCAGTGTTGTGAGTGTTCCATTTTATGTCAATTTAAAAAATCGGCGAGAAATTCCGTCAACAGCAGACGCAAACATTGTTTACCAGGGCAGTGCACTGATGCATCATGGGGGAATTGTGTGTGTGCATGTGTCAATGCAGTGCTAATCCTCAAGGTTAGGAGTACTGTTGATGATGAGAGAAGAGCAGAGAAGTGTCCTTTAAGGTACATGCGGTTGTCCAACTTGTCCTTGTTGCGTTGACAAACCTGATGTTTTCTTTTTTATACGTAACCTTTATTGTTAGAGGTACACCGAGAATCGATAGAGTTTTGAAGATGGTTTCAAATCAAAAATTGCTTTTCGAGGCTAGGACTAAATCAATAAATCAAGATTAAAATATTTCTGAGTCACAACTTTGCTAATACTTTTAACGTGCGTTCATGATTTCCTTTGTTGCTCTTGACCTCCTTGCTAGCCACCTTTATTAACAATTATTGCTTTAGTGGCACCTTTTCTAAATCTCTGACATAAACAGTCATAGCCTGTCACTGCTGCAAAGGAACTTTAAGTGGGACATCGATTTTTGTTAGCTTAAATGCTAATGCGTGAGAATTGAATGGTCTATTTAGGGCTCTCTCTGTCTACTAAAGTGGAAAGCCACA